TTATCCTCTCTCTTTCTAGAAATTTGAATATGTATGGTATCCGTGTACAACAATTACAGCAATGTCAGTATGAAATTAAAAGCTTTTTCTTGTAAATATTGTGTTGTCAAAAAAATATAACAGATTTAATTTGCCAAATTTGCAAATGGCAGACCAACCAAACAAGCTCTAATACATGTTATAGATCAGGTCATGTTTTAAAATGACGGTTTACACAAGTAAACTAGCAGCTAGACACCACGTGATTCATTGTAATATTCAACAGGTCTGTTGAGGTCAAATCAAGGTAAACACAGTCATAATAATGGAAGGGACAAGTTTGTTTTGAACAAGTTTTTGTAAAATTAAGCACATGTACCATATGAGGGCATGTTTGTCGGCTCATCTCCTTTTAATATGACATTATTTTGTTCAATATACAACTACAGTTTTCTTAAGAACAGCAAACAAACGTGTACTGACTATGCATTAAGAGGATGAAAAAAGCGTGACCCTGATTATCTATTGATATTCAAGAAATATTTGGGTCCCATGCCTTCGATATTTATTTGGTTTTCCTTGAAATGAGTGTTTTAAATTCATATATGTATCAAGAACACACAGATAAGATATCGGTGGTTTATATTATGGAAAGAAATAAACATTTTATTAAACTTCAATTTATAGGTTTTTTTCAAGATTCTCAAGTCCACCCATTTTTTTTCATGGTCCCTGACCCCCTGGGGCCTTATGGGTGGACCAAAACATCTAAATAAATGTTATCTTCAAAAGTTTTCTTCTTAACTCTAGGACCTCAAGCAGTAAAACTATTGGGATAATTGTTATCAGCATCAAGCCCCCTAACAAAATTTTTAAATTCATTGCCTCAGGGTGAGGCGTTAGGGTGGGGCTCTGTTGGTCATTTAATGAAATTGCATAAATTCTTTAAAAATCTCTTTCTTCCCCCACATGCTTAAATTTTGCAGACAAACTAAGTGTATAGTTATGATGAGCAAGCCAAGTGTACCTCTACTTAAATTGCGAAATTTATCGCCCTAGGTTAGGGGTTCTGGTGTTAGAGCAGCTGGTCCAGCTCTGTTCTGTAAAGTGAAATTGCATTAAATAAATTTGAAAATTTTCTTCTCTGCTCCAGGGTACTAAGCAGACAAACTACATGTAGGTGCAAACTACATGTAATTGCATGGTTATGATGAACAAGGATGCCTCTTTGAAAATTGTGAAATTCCTGGCTCCTGGGTCAGGGGCCCTGGTGTTAGGACAGGGCTCTTTTGATCATAGAGTGAAAAGGCATTAATTGTTTGAAAATCTTCTCTGCTTCTGGGTACTAAACACACAAACTAAGTACATGATTATAATAAGTAGGGATGTCTCTTCCATAATATTGAAATTAATGGCCCTGGGTCAGTGATTCTGGTGTTAGGGCAGGGCTCTGTTGATCATATTCTGTGAATCCTTAAAGGGTTGTGTCATACTCAGGTGAATGTTGAGGCCCTTGGGCCTCTTTTTGTATAATAGCATTATATGTTTCAATGTCAGAATAATTTTAATCCAGTTAGTCAAGATGTAAGATATATTTTTGGTCAGGGGTTTTAGTAGACTGATAGTTTATATGCATTTTCTGTCTATTTTAACAGCTTCAGTGGCAAAGATGCATCAGAAAAATATAAATATTTCTTTGGTGTCTGTACGGAAGCTTTGGCTAAAAGCATGATTACTGGTGGTGAAACATACGGGCTGTTACAAAAGAGTGTGGAAACAAACAAGTTTTATAGATTAGGAAAATATACAAATACAACAATCATATCAGGAAGTATGTTTCTTTCTAAACTTTTTAGCTCACCTGAGCCGAAGGCTTAAGTGAGCTTTTCGGATCAAAATTTGTCTGTTGTCATGGTTGTTGTCATTGACAATGATGGTAAACTTTTCACAATTTCATCTTCCACAGAACAATTAGACTAATATCAAACTTTCTACAATGCATCCTTGAGTAAATGGGATCCCAGTTTAACACCTATTCTCAGAATAAGTTGACACTTTCAAGCAGGGTTTGTGAAAATATTAATATTTTTATCTTAAGCTTTTAGTTTTAATTTAACCTTTGTATTTCACCTTTTTTTACACAAAAATTTGAACACTCAGGGAAAATATATGTTTAAGATTTGACTCTCTAAGTAACACCCTTCAAAATAATGTAATTTACATTTATTCAAGATAAACCTGAGAAATTTTCCATTAGAAACAATAAAAACAAGATGTGTGTGTTTTGTGATAAATTGAACTACTTTCTTTAAAAAAAATATACAAGACTTGATCAATTTAGAGCATTTAGATAACACAAACTTATCAATGTATATCACCAATTATTCATTGCAAATGAATGCAGATGAAAAACGTCAGTCAGCATTCGACTTAATGATAGAATGTATTGTGAATATCTGACTAAAATTGTCCATGGTGTCAAATTTAAACAATTTCATTTAACAAAGGGTGAACTTACAAGGTTACTCTTGATGGCTCAAAGTTGATCATTCGAAATGAGTCTCCGGTCCCAGTTTTTCAAATTAATGAAAATCATTACATCCTGTAAGACTGATTTTAAAACCTGTCAATCAACCTGGAAAATTCCCGACTCTTGAAAACCCGAACTCTTAATCTCTCGGAGTTTTTACTCAGTACCACAGACTTTGAGGTATCAAGAGTTGCCTTTATACAATATAGAGCATTTTAAATCAAAATTTCTTTCCTTGAAAGTTTGATTTGGGTATGTATTTTATAATAAATTGCATCCAAAGAACTTCTGGGGACATGACTTACTATCAGAAGCAGCTAGTAGACAGTGATATTCATTGCAATAACTTTATTTATCATCATCATAATTTCCTAAAAATGAACCTAAACCACTTGTCTATTACATTTTTTCAAAAGGATTACACAACATAAATTACATCTTGTCTGTAAGTAGGCAAACACACAAGTTTTTAGCTCACCTGAGCCGAAGGCTCAAGTGAGCTTTTCTGATCACATTTTGTCTGTAGTCCGTCCGTCCGTCTAGCTGTCCATCTGTAAACTTTTTTACATTTTCGACTTCTTCTTCAGAACCAATGGGCCAATTTCAACCAAACTTGCCACAAAGTATCCTTGGGTTAAGGGGATTCAAATTTGTTCAAATGAAGGGTCAAGTCTTCTTCCAAGGGGAGATAATTATGAATTTGTGAAAAATTAATGGCATCATTAAAAAATCTTCTTCTCAAGAACCAATGTGCTTGAAAATATGAAACTTATGTGGAAGCATCCTCAGGTAATTTAGATTCAAGTTTATTCAAATCATGACCCCTGGGGGTTGGATGGGGCCGCAATGGGCGATCAAAGTTTTACATAGGAATATATAGGAAAAATCTTTAAAAATCTTCTTCTCAAGAACAGCAAGGCCATGTTTGGTCATATTTACATTGAAGCATCCTCAGGTAGCGTAGATTCAAATTTGTTCAAACATGACCCCTGGGGGTCGGGTGGGGCCACAATGGGCGATCAAGGTTTTACATAGGAATATATATAGAAAAAATCTTTAAAAATCTTCTTCTCAAGAACAGCAAAGCCATGATTGGTCATATTTACATGGTAGGATCCTCAGGTAGTGTAAATTCAAATTTATTCAAATCATGGCCCCTGGGGGTCGGATGGGGCTACAATGGGCAATCAAAGTTTTACATAGGAATATATAGGAAAAATCTCTAAAAATCTTCTTCTCAAGAACAGCAAAGCCATGATTGGTCATATTTATATGGTAGCATCCTTAGGTAGTGTAGATTCAAGTTTGTTCAAATCATGACCCCCAGGGGTCGGATGGGGCCACAATGGGCGATCAAAGTTTTACATAGGAATACATAGTAGAAATCTTTAAAAAAACTATTTCTTAAGAACAGCAAAGCCATGGTTGGTCATATTTATATGGAAGCATTCTTAGACAGTGTAGATTCAAGTTTGTTCAGACATGACCCCTGGGGGTAGGGTGGGGCCACAATGGGTGATCAAAGTTTTACAAAGGAATACATAGGAAGAAATCTTTAAAAATCTTCTACTCAAGAACAGCAAAGCAATGATTGATCATATTTAAATGGAAGCATCCTCAGGTAATGTCGATTCAAATTTGTTCAATTCAAGCCCCCCCCCCTCCCCCGGAACCACTTTTGTATTTAAAATTTTCAACCTTTCAAGACTGAACTGATTTCTGCTCTTTCCTAGCCATAGTGCGCAGGTGAGCGATGTGGCCCTGGGCCTCTTGTTACACTGATTAATGTATTTGTTCAATCGAGAAAAACTGTACACACAATGTAAATTAAAATAAACGCACAGGAATCTAAATAATACATTTACTGCAATAATGTTTCCATGCTTAAAACGACGGATCAAAAACACAGAATACAGATGTTCCAACGAGATATTTTGTTCCCAGTGTATATTGTATATTGATTCAAATATTACTTAACAGCAAAATGATTTTTATTCCCCATATATGTTTAAGACTTGATGGATATAACAAGTTAGGTTTATAATGAAGCAAAATTGTCAGTCCTAGGCCTAGTACATAGTTTAAAGCGTGTTTTATTGTAATAATAAAATCCACTTTTGCTTTAAAAGAAGCTTAAGGATACTGTATCTGATCCTCAGCCAGGAAGGATAACTCTTACAATTATTATCGTATATACTCTCGTATAAGTCGGTCCGCCTATAAGTCGGTTGTAATTTTTAAGGTTATTTTGGAGGGATTTGCATTGACCCGCTTAAATTATAAGTCGAAACAACTCTTTGCCACAATAAGCTGACAATTTCAAATCAGTGCTTTCATGTTTTAACCTGGTTTTTAATGTTTTTAGAAAAATCATTAATAAAACAAATTATGTAATGCACATTTAAGATAAAAATAAAATCATTAAAATATGTAAATTATTATACTTTATGCGTTATCTTAGAATGCGTAAATTATTAATATATCCAGACTTTATTCAACGATAATCGATGGAAATGTTTACGAAATACTAAATTCTACCAATCCTTAATATTACTATAGTACCTGGCTATAAATCGATCCACCTATAAGCCGTACATAGAGTTTTGGACAAAAATTTAACTCCCAAAAAACCGACTTATAGGTGAGTATATACGGTATTTTATTTAAAAAGTCTTGAAATGAAGCTTGAAATTGAGATCTTTTTGTGCAACAATTTTCATTTTGCATCTTAATATGATTCAAGGTTCTTTGAAATTTTAGAAACAGTCATGCAAAAAAAGTTGACAATTGTACCCCATAAAAGAAAAAAAATGAATTCACTTTTAGAGAAATCGAATTTCCTTTAGTCTAGCATTAGATACCACTGCTTATTAGCATGATATGAAATTAGATGTGATATGTGATGTCTAGCAATGAAAGCACAAGCTTTTTATTATGCCCCCGGATCGAAAGATCCTGGGGGTATATTGTTTTTGTCCTGTCTGTCTGTTTGTCTGTTTATCTGTTTGTCTGTCTGTCTGTTGTCAACTTTAACCTTGCCCATAACTTTTGATTGGTTGAAGCTATGACTTTCAAATTTCACATGTGTATTCCTTGTGACAAGACCTTTCTTTGGGTACCATCATATTTGACCTTGACTTTGGAGTTTGACCCACTTTTGCAAAATTTTATGAGACTTAAACCTTGGCCATAACTTCTGAACAGTTGGTGCTTGGGGTTTCAAACTTCACTTGTGTATTCTTTATGACAAGGCCCCCCTTTGGATACCAACAACTTTGACCTTTTGACCTTGACCTTGGATTTTGACCTAATTTTGAAAAACTTTAACCTTGGCCATAACTTTTGAATGGTTGATGCTAGGGCTTTCATACTTGACATATGTAATCCTTGTGACATCACCCTCCTTTGAATACCAACCTCTTTGACCTTTTGACCTTGACCTAGGAGTTTGACCTACTTTTGAAAAACTTTATCCTTGGCCATAATTTTTGAATGGTTGGTTTTAGGGCTTTCATACTTCATATGTAATCCTTGTGACAAGACCTTCCTTTGGATTCCAATCACTTTGACCTTTTGACCTTGACCTAGGAGTCTGACCTACTTTCAAAAAACTTTTACCTTGGCCATAACTTTTGAATGGTTGGTGCTAGGGCTTTCATACTTTACATATGTAATCCTTGTGACAAGACCTTCCTTTGGATACCAACAACTTAAACCTTGACCTTGATGTTTTACTTACTTTTAAAAAACTTTAACCTTCGCCATAACTTTTGAACAGTTGCAGCTAGGGCTTTCAAATTTAACATTTTTTTATCTTTTGGCCTGGATTTTGACTTGTATTTGAGAAACTTTAACCTTTGCCATAAGCTGCCATACGGGGGCATCAGTGTTTCACAAACACATCTTGTGTTTTATCGATTTATTTTATTTTTATTTTTATTATTATTATTATTATTTGCTATTGTATTTAAAGGGGTGTGGTGGGGCATTTAAACAGTGTCAAAAGACTTTTTCCCTATTGACGTCAGATATAATGCATGACTCTTAAGTGCACATATAAATGCACGTACAATCATGAATCCAAACCATATGCCATTGTTCTGAATTCCACATGTGTGCATGCATCGCCTCATAAATGATAGAATTTTATTACACTATGTATTTACATTACAATTGAAGTAAAAAGAACTAAAATACTGTATAGGCATAAAAAGGGGGGAAAAATGCATAGTTGGTGTTTTTATTCACATTTCCTGAAAATATATTTGAGATTTGATAATTTTCCCTATATAAGATGATTAATTAAAATGATGAACTTTGAAGAAATTCCATGGATAAATTCATGTTACTGTGTGAAAACCGAGACATTTTTGTGAGCATTTTCAATTACTTAAAAGTGGATTTTCAGTACCTTAGAATTGGACTACCTTAAGTCTACGATAGATGCATGCAAATTAAAATGAAATGATTTATTTACTGAGTTTAGATGATTGGTTGATCCTGGAGTACTTGGATGGCGAGCCCTATCATTCACACTGTGGTTCCGAGCCTCGCAGGGGTCGTGTCATGTTAAACTGTGACAGCAGTGTTAGTTTAGGGGTAAGACAACTTTCTCCAACTACCACTGTATGCTTAAACCCTATCCCTGGTACTCTCTTATTGTTAAAGCATGGTTTAAACAAAAAAGAGAGATGCAATGTCTTGAAGAAAAACAATTTTGATTGTTTCCCATAATTGCTATGAACAACTTTATATATTGCTTTTCTTTGTTTTTCAGACTGAGGAACTGATTGTTTTGGAGGAAGAGAACAACAAAACTCATGACTGTTTTTATTTATTTGAGATGAAAACCAGTGTAGTGTGCCCCAAAACTCTCAATATCAGCCTTAGCCTAAGTGTGGGCACTATTCTTATCATTGTGTGAGTACCATAAGCTTTAGTGTGTGGGCACTATTCTTATCATTGTGTAAGTTACCATAAGCCTTAGTTTGTGGGAACTATTCTTATCATTGTGTAAGTTACCATAAGCCTTAGTTTGTGGGCACTATTCTTATCATTGTGTGAGTACCATAAGCTAGCTTTAGTGTGTGGGTACTGTTCTTATCATTGTGTAAGTACCATAAGCTTTAGTGTGTGGGCACTATTCTTATCATTGTGTAAGTTACCATAAGCCTTAGTTTGTGGGCACTATTCTTATCATTGTGTAAGTTACCATAAGCCTTAGTTTGTGGGCACTATTCTTATCATTGTGTAAGTTACCATAAGCCTTAGTTTGTGGGCACTATTCTTATCATTGTGTAAGTTACCATAAGCCTTAGTTTGTGGGCACTATTCTTATCATTGTGTAAGTACAGTGTACTTTCAGTCTTTACTCTTATGGTGGGCACCATTCTCAACACTGTGTAAGTACAGTGTACTGTCAGTCTTATTGTGGGCACCATTCTTACCATTGTATATTGTGTAAGCTGTAATGTCAGTCTTACTGTGGACACCGTTCTTATCACTGTGTAAGCTGTACCCTCAGCTTTAGTCTGGGTTCTATTCTTTTCATGGTGTAAGTAATGTCATCATTAGAGTTGGCATCATTCTTATCATTTTGTAAGTACAGCTGTACTGTCAGTGTCAGTGTGGACACCATCTGTATTAAATTACAGGTTAAATCTGTTGCTAACTCCGTAACAGAATTTCCAAAGATTACAATAATATATCATGTAAGCTTGTTAAACCATTAACAAACTTCTAACATCTTAGAATTGATGTAGATACATGTATTTGGAGACCAATCTAAGCTCTAACCTTGCTTGGAAGGGGGTTGGGGTCCATGGTACAATGACACATTTAGTTTTATTTCTATAATATGTTAGAATTGTTAAACTACACAGTACAGTTACATATATTTTATTTTCTGTCAAGATCAAGCATTTTTCTTAAAATTACAAGTTTAAAATGAAATTTCATATTTTAATTTTGTTTTGGAAGACATTGATAACTAAATGCAGTGCTTAATTGCATCCAGGTCAAAGGTTCTATTCCCAATGAAAAATTTGTTTTTTTCTTCCCAAAATTAAGGAAAAAATTCCCAAATGACATCCACATTGAAATTCTCAGTTCTTCTCATCAAAAATCATTGATTTTGAGACTATAATGTTCATAAAGATGTGAAAAGAGGATATAAGCCTACAATCTGCCTTGACTCTACAGTAAAACGTTACATGTGTCATCAATATTTCCAAATTTTGCAACTTTCTCTATTCAAAATTTGCAGTCCCCTGTACCTAAAAGTATTAACTAAACCCTGAAATGTAAAAGAACAAATTTGTTCATGAGAAATGATATTGATTTTTCATGTTTTTAAAGTTTAAATAATAAAATTTTTAGGAAGCAGTTTTCCAATATTAAGCAAAGCAATGGCAGAGCATTTATAGAGTTAATAATGATCAAAGTGCAATTGTTTATTATATCCCCGCTCTGAAGGAGAGGGGTTATACTGTTTTACCCTTGTGTGTCTGTCTGTCTAGCTGTCTGTCCGTCTGTGTGTCTGTCCGTAACAAATTTTGGTCGCAGTTTTCTCAGCAATTACTCATCGTTGAAGCTTGAAATTTTAGCACACTCTTTGTTTAGGCATGCCATTTGGTGAGATTTATTTTTGTGAGAATCCGATGTCAACTTCCTGTTTATCCGTGCGTCTGTCCATACCATACATAACAAAGAACAAGGTTCACTTAGGGCCTTTTTTGGCCCTGTGAATTTCAGAAAATCTGAAATTGCTTGGTTTTAGTTGGCAATGCATTAAATATCATTTAGATTTTTGGTGATTGCATATCTATCAAAAATGACTTAATTTTCTGGCTAATCAATGCATTATGACGTCATGAAATGCGTCATTTTCCTCATATCCTGAAAAATTCTACAAAAACAGCCAATTTTTAAAGCTATTTTTCGATATTTAATATAGAGCACAACATCTGATCTCAAATATGCAACTATTAAATGATAGAACTATTTCTGAGGATTACAAAACAAGTTTTATTTTTTAGATCAGAGGGTGCTCATATTATTTTTCTTCGGTGAAAGTACTCAAATATACTTATTTTCCTTAAAATTCAAGAACATTGCAATTCCATGAAGCCTGTTTTCCAAGACCATGGCTTTAAGAAGAAAATTTTTAATAGGAAATGAAAGTACTAAGTCTCTACTTTATCTTGATGTTTAAAATGAAACATAAGGTGTTAGTCAATAAATTGGTATATTTACAGGGCCATTTTATGCATAAAGTGAACCTAGCTCTTTGGTCACAGTTTTCTCAGCAATTACTCATCCCTGATGCTTAAAATTTTAGCACAGTCTTTGTTTAGGCATGCCATATGATGGGATTTATTTTTGTGAGAATCCAACGTCAACTTCCTGTTTATCCGTGTGTCTGTCCGTACCATACATAACAAATTTTGGTCGCAGTTTTCTCAGCAACTATTCATCGTAGATGCTTAAAATTTTAGCATACTCTTTGTTTAGGCATGCCATATGGTGGGATTCATTTTTGTACGAATCTGATGTCAACTTCCTATTTATCCATGATCTGTCTGTACCATACATTACAAATTTTGGTTGCAGATTTCTCAGCAACTACTTTTTGCAGATGCTTGAAAGTTTAGCACATTCATTGTTAAGGCATGTCATATGGTGGGATTCATTTTTGTATGAATCTGATGTCAACTTCTTGTTTATCCCTGTGTCTGTCCAAAAATGAACTTGTGTATTCACATCAGAGCAGGGGTATTATTAGTGAGCACTGGCTCACAGACTTCTTGTTTAATCTACACAGAGTTGAAACTGATCACAGTGTAACTGTTTTTATTGCCAGGTTTCTCTGTGTAATGTCATTGTATCTTATATTGGGATGTGCATACATGAGGTTTGTTCTTCATGCCAAAGGAAAAGAACAGTGCCCTAATTATGAATTCTGGCAGGACTTTGGAAATCTTCAAGCCGTAAGTGCACAAGTTTTCAGCTTCACTTTTCAAATACAACTTCAGTGTCCATCCTCCCACTCTATAACTGTCTGTCTGTCCAAAAAAAATTTCAATAAAGCTATGCCTACTACTATTATGATAATAATATTGCTATGTTTACTGAAGTTAGAATGCTTTAGGTTTTGTTCAAATTTCTAAACCTCCAACACTCTAGGTCCTTCTCGATTAATCTTGATTAAACTTGATAATGGCTATTTTGAATTCAAATCTGTAGAGCTGTCTCCTCAGAAACTTCTGGTTTAAATGTTTTATAACATGTACTTTATACTGGTATCTTGAAAAGAGGAAGAAGGAATTGAAAGAGACAAAATTTTGTCCTAGTTTATTTTATTTAGCACCTTGCTTGCCAGTGAAACATGTACTGACAAGATATAATACTCTTCTTACACAGGATGGGTGTGATCTGGTGTGTCGGTCCAAGAAACCCCCCGGGTCCCGGTCATATAAAGGCATTGGTGATGACCAGTTGGAGGGTGATGATGAGAGAGATGATCATCTCTTACCCATGTGATGTCCATTTACTGACCAAGAATTCACATATCTCTTATGTGTAAATTGTTTTTGTTTCACACATTCCCAGGTTTTAATGCATTTGATTTATTTCTACTAAATGCAGAAATTAAGCATGACAGTTAAAACATTTAAAAGTTATTTTAAAAGTGGTTATTTACATGTGGGGGAAATTTACACTGAATTCACAGGAAGCTTAAAGCCCTGTTAAACTTTTTTGTTTATGGAAGGGAAAGAAATATTTTATATACTTTTGATACATGGTAACCATAAAATTCAGGACCTTGTTTTTTTTTTATACCCACATATTATGCTTGTGTGTTAAAAATGTACTTTATTTACAGCATAAATAACCACTCTTACATTGTTTTGTTGTTTAGTGAATTATACCTGTAAAATACTTTTGAGTTTTTCACTTTGTCAGTCCCTCTCCAAAGTTAAGGCAATAGCCCAGTAGCTTTTGGTGGTCTATTGTACAAGATATGTTGCAATTAAGTCCAAAAAATATACTATAAATAATAATAATGCAATATATAAAATAAATGTTTTCATGAATATTTGTATCACCACGGTTGATAAAGTAGTTGTAACTAAATAAGTATTGTATCATAAATATGTGTTACATGTATATGTTAATACTCAGTGTGTGATTATTTACATGTAATGAGGTTTATGAATTCCTTCCAACAACTAAATCTAAAAAATCTAAAGACTGGGCAAACATTTTGAGATCACTCTTAGGGTACACGTTTTAGACATTTTTGTGTTTATGAACAATCTTATACAAGATAAATTCCAAGTTTTATAGTTGTGGAATACAGATTTTTTTTTGGTTCCATGAATTCCTCCATTTCTTATAGTTTTCCTGCTACTGTGGAGCATTCCGTTTTCCAGCATTCTGTTGACATGGCTCCAGCAGATATACATGTGTACAGTTCCTACCTGTTTATCATTTGAAATCTGGCATTTTTGAATGAATTCTCAGCAGTGGTGTAGTTTGAATAATTGTCCAAATCATAATTTTTTCTTTATGCTGTGCTTTTGAGTTTAGTGCAAAAAAGTGTGGGATACATATATTTAATGAATGATGAAGTTGTACATGGCATGTTTGGGGTCCAAAAATTGTAACCCATCATCCCCTACCATGGAATAAATGTGTGCAGGTAAAAAGACATGTGGTGCTTTGATAGCTTTACACTGCAGCTTCTGTCAACTCAGATGTGGTTTGTAGAAAATGAATAATTTATCATTTCCTCATGAATGGAAGCGGTGAACAAAAGTTGTAAGAATTTTCTCTGTAAATACTCATTTAATTAGTGCTGTGTAAAGAAGTGTGTTTTCTTTATATTTTATTAAAGAATTGATGTAGTTTATATGTATGTATGGATGTATAATTTTGGTCTAAAAACTTGATTTTTTAAAAACCTATAATTAATAAATAAGTAATATGATTCATGTCATGTTGAATACTTTATCTAGACAATTCATGATAGAACTTCTGTTTGGGGCTGCATTTCATTTCCGGATTTTTTAACAAAAATATTCAATTTCCGACATTTTGTAGTTTTCATTCCCGACATTTTAAAATTTTTTATCTCCAACATTTTTCCGGCTATGAAAACAGAATTCAAGACTTTCCTTATAAGAAAAAATTCAATTAAAAGAATAAATCACTGATATCCAACATAAATTCGGTGCAGTCACCGACATATAATGAAGTGGACATTAAATCTGGTGAAAATTACATGCTCATATAACTCATGCAAAACTTTTAACTAGACTTAGTGCTGCATTTATATACAGTGTATCGTAATATTTTTTATTTGAAAAATGTGGTTTGATATAAACGTAATATTTATATCCTGTTAATTTTTTTCTCGCTTGGTTAACATTAAATTACCGGACCCCCTCCCCCCCCCCCCCCCAATTCCGGTAATGCCAAATATATATATATATATATAAATATATGTTGGAAATGAAAATAAAAAAAAGTCGGAAATGAAATGCAAAATTCCATAAATGAATTGCAGCGGTAATTGTGCGCTTGATGTGTCTACACCCAACACTGTTTTTACTTTTCCGCTATTAAGCGATACAGACACTTTTTTTCCAAGAAAGGGGATGGGCATATGGGCATACCCACTTTCCTTTAAACACACACACAGATATATATATATATATATATATATATATATATATATATATATATATATATATAAGGAATCACTGTCTAGTTAGTAGAGTATGCCAGGGCATCAACGGTAGTTGGAAACGTGGGATAAATTATCCCATGTTTCCAACTAACGTTGATCAGGTCGAGGAAACTATTTTCCGTGACGTCAGAATAAATTTACATGCTAAATGAGGCACCCAACATGACTGGCAAACCGACCAATCAGCTAAATGAGTTGCATTATGGGTTACTACAAAAAATACTACATGTACGTTTCGAAAAGGCCAGTTTTTGAAATCGCTCTCGGTAAGACATGTTGCATTTTTCCAAGCATTTTACGCACTTAATATGTACATCATTATCTACTAGTTCCATGCTCACATTTACATACAAATGTTTTACAACGGTAAAATTTGGGTTTTCTCCACTCCATTGTATAAGTCCTTTTTTTTTTCCCCGTGCTGTACTATCAGTCAGTATGAATTTCACGTGACTATTCCCTGGTCCAAAACAAAGCTACTCTGAGGTGTTTACTACGTATACAAATTCGATATATATGCTACTCAATACACGTTCTATGATCAATGTACATGAGAATTAAAATACCGTACAGCAATAGACTTATGTTTTTTAAACTGCATTAACTTTTAACATGCATTCTCTGTAAGCACCAACAAATTTACTATAGGGCTTGGAAACGACATATCTCGGATTTTGATGAAATTTGCACCACAGGTGTGTCTTGGTACAAAACTAGTAAATATAGTGTCGGAAGTTCCACACGTGCACTCGGTTGCCATGGAGACGGATCCATTGAATTTGGCCATTTTTGGCCCTTTTTGACCATGTAAAAACATGGAAATTGAGGAAAAAATAAATGAACATTTATCGGTATCTTATACACTCTAACAAAAATCATTGGATCATATGATAACATGAACTTTTAACGTACATAAGGCATATAATCATTTATTCTAGAAATATTCTCACTCTAAGAAAAAGGTCATGCAAACTGGCAAGGTTTCTGAAAATTTGAAAAATGAGGAATTTAGTATTTTTGGAGATCTTTAAGTCTAAATAAGAAAAATTGTCCGTGGAAAATTTCCAAAACTTATGTGTGTTTTTATACTTGACTATTAGTAGTGTCATCTCATGAAAAAATATCGGTGGGCTTTTAATCCTATTTTTAGTAACATGTATCTATAAATAGACAGATTTTAGAAAAATGTAAAAAATCAAATTTTGGCGAAGTTTGCTGGATAATTAGGAAGTATATTGTAAAATGTAAGATGTTAATGACAGTAGCTGGACACCACTAGCTGGAGTGGACAATGGTTGAGGGGGATTCTCATTTCTATTTATAGCATCAAGCACCTAAATATAGATATGTCTCTAAATATTAGGAAAAATGACAGTTTTATGCTAATTGGAAGCTTCATAGAAAAAGTATTAACAAAAATAAAGCTTTCTTTACTTACACAATATACAATGGTAAGATATGTCATTTCCAAGATTTTTTTATGCTTACAGAGAATGCGTGTTAATTTCTAGTAAACAAATAACAAAGTAACAACGAATAACACCAGTAGCATGGCAAATTTACGAATATCAAGTTATAAAATCTGGGTTCTTATTTACTTGTGAGGACTTTGTGAGCGGTATTTCAACGTACTATTTAACACGGAGAATTGACTTTGTTTGTTAATGTGAGCATGGAAAATCTTAATTAATACCTATTCTTCGTATTTTTCACAAAAACATTAAAAATAATTATTAGTTGACTTTCCCGCAGTCATTTGAAATCGCGTCCTAAATTTGCCTGACCCACGTTTTTGTAGTAAAATATAAACCTGTAGTAGACCATCATGCTTTTCAGCTCATTCATTGGATTGGACGATTGCTCTCGTGTAAGCACCTCTGTGCGCAGTGACAACAATATCCATATATGGTAGATTCCTTGACCTGTTGATGTCCCTGGCATACTCTACTAACTAGACTGATTCCTTATATTTCCATTTCATTGTGAAATAAAATTGTAAATTTAGATTTTAAAAATGTTGGTACCCAAAGAAAGGTCTTGTCTCGAGGAATATACCTGTGAAATTTGAAAGCCCTAGCACCAACTGTTCAAAAGTAATGGCCAAGGCTAAAGTTTTTCAAAAGTAGGTCAACCTCCAAGGTCAAAAGGTCAAAGTTGTTGGTATCCAAAGTAAGGTCTTGCCACAAGGATTACATATATGAAGTATGAAAGCCCTAGCACAAATTGTTCAAAAGTCATGGCCAAGGTTAAAGTTTTCCAAAAGTAGATCAAACTCCAAGGTCAAAGGGTCAAAGTTCTAGGTCTCCAAAGGAAGGTCTTGTCACAAGGATTACATATGTGAAGTATGAAAGCCATAGAACCAACTGTTCAAAAGTTATGGCTAAGGTTAAGGTTGGGTAAAATTTTGGAAAAACTGGGTAAAACTCCAAGGTCAAAAGGTCAAATTTGATGGTACCCAAAAAAGGTCTTGTCACAAGAAATACACATGTGAAATATGAGAGCCATAGCTCCAACCAATCAAAAGTTATGGGCAAGGTTAAAGTTTTTAAGGACAAACAGACAGGCGGACGGAGTATGAAGTATGAAAGTCCTTGCACCTACCGCTCAAAAGTTATGGCCATGGTAAAAGTGTTTTCAAAAAAAGGTTCCTAGGTCAAGGTCAAAGGGTCAAAGTTGTTTGTATCCAAAGGAAGGTTTTGTCACAAGGATTACACTTGTGAAGTATGAAAGCCCTAGCACCAACCGATCAAAAGTAATGGCCAAGGTTTAAGTTTTTCCCAAGTAGGTCAAACTCCTAGGTCAAGGTCAAAGGGTCAAAGTTGTTGCTATCTAAAGTAAGGTCTTGTCACAAGAATTACACATGTGAAGTTTGAAAACCCTAGCACCAATTATTCAAAAGTTATGACCAAGGTTAAAGTGCAAAATTGGGTGGAACTCCAAGGTCAAGGTCAAAAGGTCAAATGTGTGGTACCCAAAGAATGGTCTTGTCACAAGGAATACACATGTGAAATATGAAAGTCATAGCTCCAACCAATCAAAAGTTAATATGCAATGTTAAAGTTTTTGCGATCAAACAGATAAACAGACAAACAGACAGACAGACGGACGGACAGGGCAAAAACTATATACCCCGAATCTTCGATTACGGCATAATAAAAATGAGGATTAAAAAAAGATTGAGCTAAAAAACAGTACGTTGCTGAACAGTCGCAGATATCTTTCGACGGAGGGTAGAGGCACTAACTCACGTAAAAAAAGAACAAGATGTGTTTATGAAACACTGATGCCCCCGGTTGGAAATTTATAGCGAAGGTTAATTTTTCTCAAATGCAAATTAAATATGTTGGTTCCCAAAGCAAGGTCTTGTCTCCAAGAATATACCCGTGAAATATGAAAGCCCTAGCAGCAACCATTGAAAAGATATGGAAAAGGTCAAAGTATTTCAAAAGTGAGTCAAACATCAAGGTCATGATCAAATGGTTAAAATAAATGGTGCCCAAGGAAAGGCCTCCTCACAAGAAATACACATGTGGAATATGAAAGCCCTAGCACCAACTATTCAAAAGTTATGGCCAAGGTTAAAGTTTTTAAAAAATAGGTCAACCTCCAAAGTCAAAAGGTCAAAGTTGTTGGTATCCAAAGTAAGTTCTTGTCACAAGGATTACATATGTGAAATGTGAAAGCCCTAGCACCAACTGTTCAAAAGTAATTTCCAAGGTTAAAGTTTTCCTAAAGTAGGTCAAACTCCAAGTTCAAGGTCAAAGGTCAAGGTTTTTGGTATCCAAAGAAAGGACTTGTGAAAAGGATTACATATGTGAAGTATGAAAGCCTTAGCACGAACTATTCAAAAGTTATGGCCAAGGTTAATGTTGGGTAAAATTTTGCAAAACTGGGTCAAACTCCAAGGTCAAGGTCAAAAGGTCAAATATGATGGTACCCAAAGAAATGTCTTGCCAGAAGAAATACACATGTGAAATATGAGAGATATAGCTCCAACCAATCAAAAGTTATGGACAAGGTTAAAGTTTTTGCGGACAAACAGACAGACAGACGGACAGGGCAAAAACTATATACCCCCGAATCTTCGATTACGGGTGCATAAAAAGAAAGAAAGAAAACCCAGACTCCATAAAATATTAACTTTCCCCCAAAAAATCACATTGTTAAAATGCGATGGTTCCGTAGTAGTTGGTATTCAGTTTTATCAGCAATGATCAAGTATATTTTATTATATATTA